CTACCGATGGCAATCCAAGGGTGGGTTTTCCATATCTATGATGCCATTTTTTTGGGTATGGTAGTCTCCAAATACCTGGGTTCAAGTCTTGCCTTTGATGTGTGTCCTGGCTGGGACGGGGATTTCACACCCATGAATATTCTCTGACTGTATATTTGATGTTGTGTACGTAAAAAAGCCGGGCATCATGATCCCAAGTCTTGCAGGGTATATGTTTTTTTTTTTTAAAAACATGCTCTTGATAGTATAGTATCATAACAAGATAATTATAGTATAGATAATATACCATTATATACCCACCAAGTATAGATATTGTCCCTTTCTTGGTTGTGGTTATATTTCGATCATCTCTTTTCAAGTAGAGTAAAAAATCGTTCCCTCTCCGTTCTTAGTTTCGTAAGTTCCATCCCGTTTTTTTCAGTCGGATGCATGTGTCGTCGCATCAGCGATATGCAAATTTGGGTATGATTAATATCCCTATGTTGAACTGGTCTATTTGTGGTTGGGTATGTCACCTATGTGGGATCTTCTAAATGGTGGATGTTTGCGGATGTTTTTGGGTTGGTTTCCTGAATGGATTTGAAAAGGACAATTATATAGATTGCAAGGTTTTCCTTGCAATTTCTCCTGAAACCTAATCAAGTGCACTTACATGCTGGAAACACCCAGGGGTTCCCTACAAAAGTCCTAAACAGTTACATTTCCAGTGATGGGTGTTCTCCCCATGATTCACTCACTTGGTAAAGCTGGGTTGGGTAATATGATACTCTATAATATTAACCAATTTCTTTGCCGTAAATAGTAGATTTGTTCTACTAGCGAGCGAAGCATTTATTTTTTTGGCTGTGAATGTCAGTTTGGTCATGCAAAGATCAGTTATTTTTTCCATGTTTCACCTGCCCACCGGCCGGTTAAACACAGGGTGATTCATCCTGTGGATCTGGAAAGAGGCAGGGAAATGACAGAGGCCATGCGTGGCGCCAAATGGACGACCGGTACTTCACGATCTTGGCATTCTATGAAGAATGGAACGCCAACATCGCCCTAAACAGTCCAGCTTAGCTTGGGAAATACCCTCTGGTAATTTAACATAACTATGGAAAAACACAATTATTAATGGGAAAATCAACTATAAATGTGGTATTTTCTACAGCTATGTTAGTTTACCAGAGGGTAGCCCCTTGTCACCGGACGCTTCAAAGACCCAAGCTCTCTGGATCAGGACAACGAAAATTCCCCATCCGCGAAGATGACGCATCCTGAAGGGTTAGATGAACTACTTGACTTCGGTGCTCGTCTCTTTCCTTGTGACATTTGATTAATCTTGGGGATAGTGGCTATAAATACAATCCTAAGCATTCCTATATGTTTATTCACATCTCAAAAAACAACTTGGTATGATGATCTAAGATTGCTTTTCCACATATCCCATCAAATATTCCCGTTTACACTCTGGTAAGCTAACATAACTATGGAAAATCACCATTTTTCATGGGAAAATCCACTATAAATGGCCATTTTCAATAGCTATGTTAGTTTACCAGAGGGTATATCTTGACGATGTTTCTATTCTGGTGCCATCTCCAGTTGTTGTCTCCTCTCAGGTCGACCATCTTCCGTCAGGGCAAGACGGTGCTTGCGCTCTTCGAAGCATTGGCATCTGCGGAGGCAGCGACGGCCCTAGCGAAGTCCCTGGGGAGTTGCGTTTTTTGCAAAATACCCTCTGGTAATTTAGCATAGCTATGGAAAATCACCATTTTCAATGGGAAAACCCACTATAAATGGCCATGTTCAATAGATATGTTAAATTACCAGAGGGTAAATGAGACATTTTTCTGGATCGGACCCCAAGAAATGGATAAAGTTGGGGGGTCAAGATTTTTTCCTGGAGCTTTACGATTGACATTGCATAGATTGTTTGCGTTCTGGTTGATGGGAATCCTTCAAGCAGTTCCATGGGTATGACAGAAGCGTTTTCGATATGGGTTGAAACCACGGTGAGATGTCGGCAGAAAGATGGCCATGACACAGCTGATTCAGATGATCCAGGTACAATACAGATTCATGAATTCCAGGAATTCCCAAATATGGTACCCTCTGGTAATTTAACATAGCTATTGAAAATGGTGATTTATAGTGAGTTTTCCCATTAAAAATGGTGATTTTCCATAGTTATGTTAGTTTACCAGAGGGTACCTGGAATTGTAATTGGAACTGGAATTGTTGGAACTGGAATTTTGAATTGGTACGAACTGGAATATGTTGGAATTCTACAATATGATACAAATTTGGGAATCCCCATCAACAATTCCTGTAGTTGGAATTGGAATTGTTGACACCTCAATTCTCCTCAATTGTTGATGGGGAAAAAAAGCCATGGTCCAGCGGTCAGCCGCTCCAGCCTCCAGCGTGGTACCAGGGCAGGGTGCAGTGGACCGACTTCCAATCCCTGTTCCTGCAGCTGGAGTCGCTTGGTTGCAGGATGGCAGGCTGTGCCCCATAGGTAGTTAAGTTGGTTTATGTTGGTTTTATATCTAGCTTAGTTAACTATATTTAGCAATGTTTAACATGTTTTAACTGTGATTAACTATGCTTAACCGGTCAACCATGGTCAACTTTATGTTTGACAAAGGTTTTTCTGGTAGCTATATCTGAATCCAATTGTAGTTAATCGGGTTTATCAACCAACAACGCAGATAACTAGGGGGGCACGACGTTGTAGCAGCATGCTTTTTCCTATGGCATCTACATCCAGGCGACCATCGAGGTTGCGCGATGCCACATACCCCGCCTGAACCACCCTCGGTGAGCTGGAGCTGGTGGCCACAATTGGCCACATCAGGTACGGTACACCTCCGTGGCGCATCCTGAACTCCATGAACTCTATGATTTTGCGTGAAAATTTGGTAAAACCTCCTAAATGATCCCAAATGGCCATTGAAATCGGGACAATGATGATGGGCCTATGGATTTAGGGAATCCTAATTTCATGCAATTCATCTATCTAATCTTATCTTATCTTAATCTAAGCTAATCTTCATCTAATCCAATCTAATCTAATCTAATCTAAATCTAATCTAATCTAATCCAATCTAATCTAATCTAATCTAAACCAATCCAATTTAATCTAATCTAATCTAATCTAATCAATCAATCAATCTATCAATATAATTAAATGGTCGAAGCACGAGCTGAGCAGTTCGCTGATTGTGGGTGTATTTGTTCAAACTTGATCCACTGGTCCCCTGTATTTCTGTTCTTCGACCCTGTTGTGGAAGATGGTTGATGCTGCCGTTGGACTAGCCCACCCGGTTGCATAATATACATTTTTTGTTTGCCGGCTACCGGCACGGGCCCACCGGCCGGCCCACCGGCCACGGCACCGGGCCACCGGCCCGGCCCACCGCCCCCAACGGAGCCCCAACGAACACGGCCAACGGCCCACCCGCCAACCGGGCCACCTGCCCACCGACCCACAGGCCCCACATGCCAACCGGAACACCGGCCCCACCACCTGCCCACCGGCCCCCACATGCCCAGCCACCTGCCCAGCCACCGGCCTGCCGCCTTGAACCCGTCATGTCAGGCGCCATCGAACCACCGCACCGGCTGAGCCACCGAGAAGTCTTACACAGAGGGTTTTTTACACACAGAAGCTTTTACCCACAGACGCTTTTACACGCAGACATTTTTACAGGCAGACGCTTGTAATGTTGAGTTCACTTTATATTAGTAAGATACCCCGAATTTATCCATATCCACAGCGGAAAACTCTTTGACACTAACTTTTTGGGTTGGTTCTCCCAACGAATCCCCTATTAAACAACACCCTTCCGGAAAGTTTTTTAAGTTCCAACTAGTCCGCACTAAGGGGTTCTTACGATCGGCGTCACGGCCGGTGCTTGATCGGGGTGCTCCAGCTGAAACGGCTACCGGCCCACCGGCCCGGGCCACCGGCCCACCGGCCCGGCCACCGGCCCGCACAAAAAAAGTATTTACTCCCCGGTTGCTCACCATGCCTGAGTCATTTCATGTCATCTCCAAGGCCATCTTTATCTGCCAGCGACCTGGAATCCCTGTGGAAAGACTTCGACAAGGACAGAAAAGTGGACAACTCGTGGGCCGGATTTTTATTGGCCTGGGCCAATGCTGGGTGAACCATGGGTGGATAGTATAAAAAATCTCTTACACCCTGTTTTGCTATCAGTGTGAATATTCAGAAATGCTATCATCGGCCATGTCGCCGGCTAAACCTTAGGTTGGCTATGATGGATTGCAACGAAAAAAATTGGGGCCAAGAATTGAATCTGTGGTCCCTCAGCTTCAACTTGACCCATATCCAATCTAAGTTGATGGACTATATTGGTGAATGATATATGTTATATATGGTATAATATATGATAAACCAATGAGATATATATATATATATATGGGATAATGATCAAAGAATGGGATCAATCAATAGTTGATGGACTAGTCAATGAGATGTACCTGATGATAGCCACTGATGACAGATCTCCCTGCTGTTCCCTGCTGGAAGGTGCGTGACTGGCCGGCGATCTCAGTAGATAGAGAAGCTCCAGAAACAAGTCATACAGGTGGCAGAACATACAATGTGGTGCCTCCGCCCCAGTTTTAAGTTGGTATAATATATACATAATATAGCATTATATATATAATTATTTATGTAATGTATACATACATATAATACACATACATATATATATATTGATATTACGTCAATATATTGCTTCTAAATCAATCCCACTGATTGAATTGATAAGTCCCAACTTAGGTATAAACTGCCGGACCCTTGGCGGGTATTCATCGCTTCCGAAGCCGCAGGACGGCGATGGTAGCATCACCAAAGAAGAGTTGGAAGCTTAGTGTTGGGAGGGTGTATTGATGGGGACGATGGCTCAATTGACGTGTCAATTCGAGTTATATAAATTTTATTATTAGATTAAAGTTATATATATATATATATTAAATATCTAATATATCATCATCTAATATCATCTATATCTAATATATCTAATATATCAAAATAATAGATGATATATTAGATATTTAATATAACAAAATATTCTTGTTTTTTTCGGTGCCCAAATCCATCCGCATCCAACCGTTGATTGAATCCTAATCTCTACTGGCTAGATCTTTGTTTCCAGGAAATCCATGGTTAATGGTTGTTATATATGGTTTATGATACTTATAACTATGGTGATGAAAATATCAATGGATTGGTTTTGTTGGGAAAATCTTAACCGGAAACCAATCCGATTTTCCCATGAAGATCATGGGGATTTCCTGTAAATGTTCCCTTCAACCAATCCATTGATTCTACAAAATTCTACAAGCCAAATGGCCCATGACTAAGAGAATCTTCATCGAAGTAAACGGGTGATTGTCCAGCAAAACATGTTTTATTACGATCCATCGATATTTCATACATGTTATTCGAATATACCATTAAGACAAAATCACATCAAATCTCTGTTATACCACAACTTTCGTTTGTTTAAATCCTCATGTTTTTTGTTTAAAAGTGCAAGTGCTAAATCCCCCACCTGGTATTTGAATATCAATATTAAACATATGCTTTTCATTGGACTAACCATTTAGGTATATTCTTGGGGGCATATTCGATTAATAGTCCACTAACATGCCGATAATATCTCCAATGCACAGCCAATACATGTTTGTTTGTGAAATCCCCATTTCTGATTGTTTAATCCGCATTACCACCACCATATTCCACCAATGTTGATGAGTCTATCCCACTTTACATTCCATTATTACATTCATATCCCATACATGTCCCATGAATATCCCACCAATATCCCATTACATCCCCATTATACCACCATTCTTGAAGGGTATTTAGCTGTACTACCTAATCAAACATGCCAATGGAACATCCACCGATTGAAAACCCCCATTTATCTAGGATGTTCAATTGCGATTTAACTCCCATTTACATCCCATAAGAATCTTCCATGCATTTTCCGTGGTATCACTATTATACCAGCACTATTGAAATTGAAGGGTAAATATTGCACATAATCAAATATATAATTTAAATGATGGTTATTTTTGTAATATTATATATTCCGTAATTACTGAATGTAATACTCGGTGTTAAATAATTACCATTGTTACTTTTCCACTATTAGATGTTAACAATGAACATCCACTGTTGATCATGGATATCATATATCATATGTAACATATATATATATATACACATATCACCCATTATATTCCATTATTTTTCATTATGTTCCTTTACATCCAGTATATCACCATGAATTGTAATCTTCAATATTTTGTTAAACATCCCATTGTTGATACTTCTCAGTATTTGTTGGTTTTTGTTTGGGGTGTAGTCGATTAATATTAGATGAAAATTCCATTGACATCCCCATAATATCCCCAATAATGGTGATATATGGAACATCCCATTATAGTTTATATTCCATTGGTTAATGATATCACCATTTTTCCATTTTTCCATGTGTTTAATAAACATAATATCACGATGGTGATATATTGAACATTCCATTAGTTAATGTAAACATTCACCATCGCCATCCTCCCAATGTTTTCACAGGTTCTTCGCCGCCATGGAACCCTCAGTGCGACTGGTGGTGGCCAAACAGGCCGAGGTCATCGCACGGATGGCGCCCGGGAGCCCGGGTTACCGCCCGGAACACCGCCCGGAACCGGAGCTCGGTGGTGCCAGGGGGTGTACCCTCTGGTAATTCAACAGTTCGCTATTGAAAATGGCCATTTATAGTGAGTTTTCCCATTAAAAATTGTGATTTTCCATAGTTATGTTAAATTACCAGAGGGTAAACCATGGGGAAAAAGGTGGATTTCACCATAGGAAAATGGGGGTTTGATGGAAACTTCAACCGCTGATTTTTCTGGCCAACTTAAGGTGGTATGATTCCAATTTCACTCGGGTCGAGGATATAAGTCTAGTATCGTTTGTGAACCAACAAACACAGCTGGGTTCGCACCAATAATGGGGATATACCCTGCCATGATTTCGGGGTTAGAAGATGGGTTTCGACTAAAAGACCTGGTGTGTTCAGGGTTGATGTTAATTTAGGTGCCTTTAACAGGGACTATTGCTAATGATATTCCAACTATTATATGATGACATTTATGACACATCATGTTCTTCCAAGATTTGTCCATCAATGTCTTTAAAGCCAATAAACTGACCACCTGGGGATGGTTTTACCATCCCAATATGAAATTATTGGATTTACCATCTGGTAAACATACAAAAAGCTATTGAAAATGGCCATTGAAATAAGGGATTTACCCATTAACAATGGTGATTTTCCATAGTTATGTTAGTTTACCAGAGGGTAAACCATTTGTGCGAACGTAAGAGGGATATCATGAAAATGTCACTCAATGCAGGGACACATGTTCCAGTGGCCCATCAATTCAAGGTTCATCTTCCCAAGGTTGGCGCTGCAGCGGCAGAACCAGAACGTGGATCAGCTCTTTAATGCCTTAGCCACGGAACAGGCCAGGGTAAAGGCTACAGTTGCTATTGTGAAAAATAAGTTGCATGTTTTACCATGTTATATCTGTATATATATATAAATATATAATATACATATATATATATATAATATAATATATATATATATATATATAATATCAGATAATATCATATTACTGGGGATGCCTATCTTTACTGGGGATGCCAAAAAAGATAAGCTGTTGCAGGGAATCTAAAATTGGCCATGACTTGTAGCTTCTTACATGGCTGAAAACTGCATGAGAACCTCCATTTCTGTGTCTGATTACCACACTGGAATAGGGCACAGAAATGCTAATCTATTGTTGGTAAATCAGACTTTCCACTTTTGGGATGTAAATTACCACACTGTCACACATTACATCCAAAAACCAACAGTCTTCTGTTCGCATATTTTACCCTCTGGTTATCAAACGTGGCAACGGGGAAATCATCAATTTATCATTTTATCGATGATTTTGTTCCAGCTAGAAACCTCCATTTTTTTCCAAAGGGATCGTCCATTGCCTTTGATTTTCCAAAGGCTCTCAGCCAGGATCCACGTCGAGTTCCCACTGTGGAGTCGATGGGAATTCACGAATGGCTGAACCATTGGAAGCGAAGCAACCATTTTGGATGATTATGTCATCAATTGCTATGTCATCACACATATTTTCTCCATGATTCATATCTATGTATCTCATTGTATCTCTAGGCTCATCCCAGTAAGAGCATGGCTTATAACAGTTGTAACAGTTATAACAGTTATAACCCTAGTTTTTTTGGTGGTGGACTAACCGGGGGTTATGGCCTATCCCACTAACAGTTAGTTTGGGTTAGTCCATGCACTTACTAAACTTTTTTAACAGTTAACATGGCTTATCCCACTAACTGGGGGTTCTGTATTATCCGAATACATTTTTCTCTATGACGATTCGGATGCTCTCCAGGGCGTGGTGTCCTGGCCGGACTTCCGCTCTCTCTTCCAGCAGTGGGAGTGGGGGGTCCCAGGATGTAAAAAAGAAATGGTAGTTGTGTTGGGTAAGAAACGTTGAAAACCCATGGGATATACCCTCTGGTTATTTAACATAGCCATGGAAAATGGCCCATTTATAGATAGTTTACCTATTAAAAATGGTGGATTTTTCCATGGCTATGTTAAATAACCAGATGGTAGAACCTTTACATACTTCTGGGTAAATTATAACGACCGAACCCTGTCCTCCCTCACTGGAAATCATGGTTAATAAGGGAACTCATCCCCAAATGGCCCAACAATTCAGGTGAGTGAAATATTAAATATTAAACATTATTTTTTTACCCAGATACTTTTAAGTAACAGTTAAATCCCATAGGCTTGTGACGGCCATCTGTAACTTTGTAGCTGGGATATCCCATCTGCAGAATCCCAAGTGGTTGATTCCCCACACCTGGATATATGATATATGCAATATATAACTGGCTTAGAATATGGTTGTAACCCGCTTACTAAATGGAATGCCCCCTATCGTGATGACAAAAAGTGAGTTCGAAAAAAATCTGAAACGAGTTGAATTCTGAGGTTTTTTTTGTGGTGAATTTCTGGGAAACGTGTTCCAAATGTTCCATGTTGTGAGGTACTTGACTACCCTCTGGTAAACTAACATAACTATGGAAAATCACCATTTATAGTGGATTTACCTATTAAAAATGGTGATTTTCCATAGTTATGTAAACGTTTACCAGAGGGTACTTGACTAATTCTTCGACATGTTTTCCAAAAGATGAGCCCAAAAACAAGGAGATTCAGAGCAAATGTAGAATGAAAGTCAGGCCGATGTGGACTTAAAACATCTTAAAACCCTGGTGGGGCTTGTCACAAGTGACCCATATTTTTGACCCAACTTGGTGCTATGTCATAGGTTCAACATGGTTCAACAGAGCCATCAGGGTCTCATCGTGGAGCCGTCAAGGTGATGTTTATGGAGGAATTTGTTTGGGGGAAACGAGGAATTGTAAGATGTGTCTGTTTGATATGGAGCAATGTCAGACTTCAAGAATCAATGATCATCAATGATCATCAATGATCATCAATGATCATCAATGATCATCAATGATCATTTTTGATCATCAATGATCATCATATTTCTGGATTTTGTCGATGTCATTGATGTCATGGCACATTTTGTTGTGGGGCATGGTGTTGTCCTTGCATCCTTTGGATTATCCAAATTACCGATGTCTTGGGTACCGTAATCCCATGTCCACGTAGCATCTTGATACTCCATGTGTATTTGTATATGCATGTACCGTATATAGTGTGTATACATACGTATATAATTATATATATATATATATGTATGCACATATCATGCATGTACAATGTACATATACATAATATACATAATGCACATAGCATGGGTTGTTTGAAAGTGTGGTATATCACCACATGGCCATTGTAATAGGGACAATGATGGTAGTTGGTAAACCAGTTATTTCTGTCTAGCCGATTTCCAGACAAAGCTATATCAAATTCATTATATATGCCATTGCATTCTTGTATATACACCTATACATATACGTTATACTATACATATCAATACATATCATATGTTAAGTTTATATTTAAAAAAACATAGAGGAAAATAACAATGCAATACATATACATATATATGTACATATATATATACTACACACATTGTATTTATATTATATATTTATATATATACATACAATACATGTATACTGTATACAGTATACATCAGTTCTCTCGTGCACTGGTTCACTCGTTGGGGTTCACCCCACAGGCCATCCCTCGGAGAAGATGATTTGCAGGGTCTCTGGCGTAGCTTTGACAAGGACGCTGTGCCTTTTGCGAAACGTGTGGTGATCAAATGACTATTAAAAGTTATATAAGCTAAGTCTTCCTAGTAAATGTATGTAAATGTATTATTATGGGACTGAAATTAACTTACTGGGAATCAATATGAATCAATTATTCTGATTATCAATGGTAACTTTTATGCTTATTATGGATGATCATTATGACTTACTGGTGTTCGTAGATGACTTGGATGGGGGAATGGGATGATTATTATTTGTTGTTGATTGGATCATTTCCCCATTCCCTACGTTTAGCACCAATAAGACGATGCGTCCCGGAAGATGGCAAGAACTCTTCGTTGCAGATTTGGAAAAGATGGATGGTTTTTTTCCACACATGTCAATACTTCTTGTTATTGATAAGATCATGAACTTTCAATCTCCAACTTATCCAAAACTTCAGTTGGTTCCCCCAACTGCTCAATCCAACACCGATTTCGGCGATTTCAAGTGCACCTCGTTGGGCCTGGACTCCTGGACGGTGCACCAACCAATTTCCCAATCTAATCATCTAGGCGTACATAGAATACCCTCCAATTTGATGGGGATGATTTTTCAACCCTTGAGGATAGTCGAATTGTATATTCTATCTCCGTCCAACTAGCGAAGTATCATAAAAATTCACCACTTTAAAGTTCCAACACAAAAACTAGTTTGCCCGCTTCTAAACTAACTTACCTATATTGTTTGGGCCCTGGGCAGGATGATGCAGGATGTCGATATTTTTGTTCACCAGGAGGCTTCTCCTTTCTTTCGCTCGGTAGGACGGTGATGGAAGTGTCACAAGGGAAGAGTTCCGGAGCCCAGTGTGATGCGGGGGGGTTCCGAAGTGGGGTCCTCCTATAGCTGGATGGTTTATTTCATGGAAAATCCTAAAGATAACATGGATGATTTGGGGGTAACCACCATGGATTGGAAACCTCCATACTGTGGATGGAAGAAATCCTGCACCAGCTGACAGGTGGTTTATCCCATTATTTATAGGGTTTCAACCATCCTTTAGGTGGTGCAGGATTTCTTCCATCCACAGTATATCTCCATGTCAATATGGGGCTCGAAAATGTTAGATCCTCCTATTTTTTCACGGCATGAAGCAATCCAAGTTGGGGGGGCACCCACCTTTTACCAAGGTTGATCCATCCCCCAGCTAGTGACGTGCACAAACTTGTTGAAGCATAGCACATCCTTGTCAAACTGGTTGGTATGTACTTCTGCTTGTGGAAGACCAGAACATGCTAGAACCCATTTGCAACCCCATGAAACTGGCACGCAAAACCCCCCGCTAAGGTTAGTGTGATATATCCCATAATTGTACATATTCATTCCATATGCAACTACCATACGTAACTATTACAGTAGGCAGTGGGTGTGCTGGAATGTGCTGGACCCAGGTTTGTTAGCGCTTTGGCTCCTGCTACTCAAGCTGCTGCTGCCCACACCGAAGACGTTTGCAAACGCGTTGCGTTTGGGAACCCAGAGGCATGGTTTTGCCTTACCCTCTGGTAATTTAACATAGCTATTGAAAATCACCATTTTTCATGGGAAAATCCACTATTTCTATGGTCATTTTCAATAGCTATATATGTATGTTTACCAGGCCGGGTAAGAGATGGTAAGAGTGGATACCTTGGAAATCCTAAGAACTCCGATGGTCGATGTTGATACATAAGTACTTTTACATGCATAAATACATCCTGACCTGCATGTTTAGGAATAATAGTGAACATGAAAGAGTCATCATAAGTATAACCCCCAATATCTATGTCTACATCTCTATCTATCTATCTATCTATCTATCTATCTGTCTATCTATCTATCTATCTATCTATCTATATATATATATATATATCATTATGCATACATGATATGTGTGTATAATTTTGCACATAAGTACATCAAGAATACGTCATGATGTTCCTGGGATCCAGGTCCATGCTCTTCCAAAACGGTCGCACCGTGACGCAGCTCTTCGACGCCTTGTCTGCTGGCCAGGCATCGCCACATCGCCAGAAATTTGCTGATGTTGGGGTGTGTCTGAAAATGGGGTATACCCTTCAAATCACCATTTCAATGGGGTGATTAGAATCCATTGGAATTTTCGGTATACCGTATACCCTATTTTCAGGGAAACCGTTTGATTGACAAACATTTTGGACAAACATTTGCTCTTCCTTGGGACTTTGAAACCAGCAGCACAGTGTTTGCACATTTTGGCTGAGTCCCGGGAAAAAAGTCTCACACTGCTTGATGGTCGCAGGGTCCTGGAATTGGTTTATGGTAAAGTTGCAGGAAGGAAGGCCAGGCCAAATATTGGAAAAACCAGGGTTTCCTGTAGATTTTCTCTTCAATCCATTGAAAGCAGCAGGAAAACCCGTGGCAAATAGCGCGTCTCCTAGGGCCAGCGCCACCCAATGATGTCCGGCACTGCCCAGTAGCCGTCACAAGAATTCACCCATGTTTGCTCCAACATTGCGGGAGCAAGGCATGGTGGGTGAGACCACAGCTCTCTTGTACATGGGTATGTCTGAAAATGGGGTATACCCCCAATTATAGCCATTTAGTAGGGATAATGATCATTAACCATTGGGTGTAGGGGTACACTATTTTCAGACAACCCCACATTTGTTCGTACAGATTTGACACTGCATTTTCCTACATCGAAGGATTCCCAGTCAGTGTTGGAGAGTGTGCACTACAGGGAATCACAAGGCAAGAAGGCGCTATTGCCGGCCAGTATTTACAGCATCTTCCCAGAAGTATTGTTTCAATTGCTTTTGGAGATGCATTGAACCAGACACTCGAGGGAGTGAGCTTGAGCTTGCCAAGCAATCTCCGGAGCTTGACATTCGGAAATGATTTCAACCAGACCCTGGAAGGAGTGAGCTTGCCAAGCAATCTCCAGAGCTTGACATTCGGAAATGATTTCAACCAGACCCTGGAAGGAGTGAGCTTGCCAAGCACAATCTCCAGAGCTTGACATTCGGAAATAATTTCGACCAGACCATGAAAGGAGTGAGCTTGCCAAGCAGTCTTCAGAGCTTGACATTTGGCTGGGCTTTCAACCAGACCCTGAGGGGAGTGAGCTTGCCAAGCAGTCTTCAGAGCTTGACATTTGGCTGGGCTTTTAACCAGACCCTGCACGGAGTGACCCTGCCAGGCAGTCTTCAGAGCTTGACATTCGGAAATATGTTCAACCAGACCCTGGAGGGAGTGAGCTTGCCAAGCAATCTCCAGAGCTTGACATTCGGAAATGATTTCAACCAGACCATGAAAGGAGTGAGCTTGCCAAGCAGTCTTCAGAGCTTGACATTTGGCTGGGCTTTCAACCAGACCCTGAGGGGAGTGAGCTTGCCAAGCAGTCTTCAGAGCTTGACATTTGGCTGGGCTTTTAACCAGACCCTGCACGGAGTGACCCTGCCAGGCAGTCTTCAGAGCTTGACATTCGGAAATATGTTCAACCAGACCCTGGAGGGAGTGAGCTTGCCAAGCAATCTCCAGAGCTTGACATTCGGAAATGATTTCAACCAGACCATGAAAGGAGTGAGCTTGCCAAGCAGTCTTCAGAGCTTGACATTTGGCTGGGCTTTCAACCAGACCCTGAGGGGAGTGAGCTTGCCAAGCAGTCTTCAGAGCTTGACACTTGGCTGGGCTTTTAACCAGACCCTGCACGGAGTGACCCTGCCAGGCAGTCTTCAGAGCTTGACATTCGGAAATATTTTCAACCAGACCCTGGAAGGAGTGAGCTTGCCAAGCACAATCTCCAGAGCTTGACATTCGGAAATGATTTCAACAAGACTCTGGAGGGAGTGAGCTTGCCAAGCAGTCTTCAGCGTTTATGTTGTTAGCACGTTGTGATTTCCTTGCATTGCACGCAAAACATTTGCAGAACATTTTATGATGATGCGGGTATTGCATGGTATTGCGGCATGTGAGATTTTGGTATCCTAGTTGCCACAGGCTGATAAGATCTGACAGGCTGTTTGCTAAATTCAATGCTGGGAAACTATAACAACCGAACTCTGGCCGACCTCACTGTAAGTGATTGTTTATAAGAGGGGAATCATCCCGAAAATGCGGTTAATTTCAGGTTTGTGAAAAATAGATATTCTAGATTCTATATGATGTTCTATAATTGATGCAATGCACACCAGAGCTTGCATTTAGTTCCACGGGTCTGTTTTGTCTACATTTCTGCAACAATAGAGGATGTCCGAATTCCAAATCCACCATTTTGCGGTCAGATCTGATCAGGGAGCGCATTCTCAAGGTTCGATTTGAAGAGATACTGCCACCAATTAACAAGCTGTTGTTTGAAGAGATCATGTGGGTGTGGAGAGACCTATCCAAGGTATGTGAGCTCGCTTTCTTGTCAATCCTTTTTGATGATTGGATGTCTCTTTTGATGATCCCTGATTCCAGAGAGCCAGACAACTGTCCAACTGTCCAGTTTCCAGACACTGCCAAGATTGAGCTGAGTGCATATTGGATCGGATATTCTGATGTTTGCTGAAGACCTTGGGCATTTGGCAGGGCCTCATTGATTGTATCTCCATGATTGATGCTCCATTCGTCCCATATCCAGGATATCAGGATGAGATTATACCTATATATAATTCTTATTGTACATACATTTATTATATCATAAGATTGTGGGTAAATGGTTTATGACTGAGTGCTTGATGATTTTATGGGATTATCACGGATTACTTATTTATGGTTGTATCTCCATTTATTGGATCTATCTCCAAAAAGATGATGCTTATTGGATCTTAGTGGCAATAAATTGGGCACATGTCACCGCTATCATCTGCTCACTTTCGAGGAGCAGGTGGCTTTCGAGGACTTCCGGAGCCTCTTTCAGCAACTTGAGCAGGGGCGACTCAGAGACGCAGGAGGTGGGGCCAAATAGGAATAAATAGGTAGCTACTGGTAAGTTAAGCTTAAGAATTAGGTTAACTATGGTTAACTGGGATTTATGCTAGAAGTACATATACTGATTGTAGTTAATGGGGTTTATACACCAACTTACATAACTGGGGGGGGCACCACCTTGAATCAGCTACTGATTGACAGGTCGACCTTGACAGCTTCACCAAAAATGGCCCAGCGAGATTTGGATTTTCACCAGGTCAACTCACCCCTCAGAGGGTTTCATCCATTGACCCAGCAAAAACATGTGGTTTTCCTAAGCAAATCTCTGGATGTATCCCGCGAAAATCACCGTTACAAAGATTACAAAGACCCCAATTTTAGCACGTTGAAGGCACGTTGAAGCAAGAAGAAATGGAGCGTATCCTGGGCTCTTGGAGCTGATGATTTACCCTGATTTCTGGTTGGATCAAGAACTCACATCACCGCGATCGCTGGTTGGCAATTGTGTTTTTAGCAATGATAGGTCTGAATTCAGATGGTATCAACAAAAAATGACATTTACCAGGAACATGTGGATACAAACACGATTCTACTCCTGGGATGGCAATGAGTGATGCCACACGATCAGTTCATGGATCGTCTAAGACACGCTGATCCCCGAGGATTTGCCGACCTGCGGTACCCCAAATTCCTATGATTGATGTGTTCTTTCCCATTTCTGTACATTTGTACATGGCTATTCATGGCTGCAATTCATTGCAATTCAGGATAGCTCCCTGTTTCGACACAGCCATTTTTACTAGTCAAGTCATGATTCCGAACGATTGATGCAAACATATTCGGCATTTCCTGGGGATCAATGGCTATCATTGGTTCTAAATGAAGGATGAATCCTCACTTGTTTGGACAAAGCCTGGCAGTGTGAAGCCTAAGGCCTTCCTTGACCCTGCCAGATTTGCAAGCTCTTTGGCGCTGCTTTGACAAGGAATGGATCTGCTGATCTTGCCGTATTTTACCCTGCTTCCAAGTGTCGTAGCTATGGAAGTCCATGGAGGAAACCAGGGGAAATGACCTACAAATGGTGGATGTTCGGTAATTATAAGTATCATTAGTTTCTCAACCATAACCGGATTTTATGGGATATGAATGGATATGATATAGATATACCATATGATTTACCATATTATACAGTGTATATATACATATATTATCTGGTTGGTGGTTTGGAACATTTGGATTATTTTTCCCATCATATTGGGAATGTCATCATCCCAACTGACGAACTCATATTTTTCAGAGGGGTAGGTATACCACCCACCAGATAAGTTTACTGCGGGGTGCCCAACACAAATCTGATCATGTTGGAGCAAGAGGGTTTGTTTTTTTAATGATTTCCAACGTGAGACTGATGGTGCAAAGGGTCTGTCTCATCAGTACTAGCCACAATGTCGTCAACAGTAGGGTTTTCTCCAAATTGCTGGAGGGCACAATCTTCCCATTCGAAGGATCAAATATACACATTGCCACATAGTACCCCAAAAGACTGAAAGGTGATGAAAAGTGATTTATGTCTGCATAGGATTTCAATTGTCGAGTCTTTCTGGTGTTGCTGCACAGACGTGCATTGCATTGCATTCCATTGCATTATATTGCATTCCATTGATCAGAATTAATCAAAAATTGGGTAATATAATAGAAACATTAGAAACTAGTTTTGGGTGCAATAAATCCACCTAATAAAATTGAAGCACCAATTTTGACCCGATTTTTCTTAGGTTTCTCAAAGATGGTGATCCCGAACGCCAATTTTGACCCCAGGACGGTGACGGCGGAGTGACACGCCAAGAGCTACTCGGCGCAGCACAGAAAATCGCCTCGTTGTGTGGATAGCAATGATAGCAATCAACAAATTTAATTAATATACCCTCTGGTTATTTAACATAGCCATGGAAAATGGCCCATTTATAGATGATTTTCCCATTAAAACCTCCATTTATAAGGGATTTTCCATGGCTATGTTAAATAACCAGAGGGTAGATAAAATATTATAATTATAAACATGTGAATACAGTGCCTGCTTTTTTTCATGAATCACTATTTCATATAGGTCTTTGGAAGGTTATTTTCTGCACACTCCTGCACTTCGATATGAGTGTGTTTGGTATTTGTGATGTTTATTTATTTCGGTTTACAACCTGAAGAACAGAAAACATGAGCCAGCACAAGCCGCAAAGCGCAGTCAGTAGTCCAAGAACTTACTTCAAACATCATTTTCTGTGGAGAGTAGATTCCATTATTGTTTTTTTTCTATTGTTATGATGTTTGTTGTGTCTATTGTCGTGTTGTTGCGTGTTAATGTGTCTTGTTTTGAAGACATTACATATGTTTGTATACATATCATATATATATATAGATATGCATACATGTGTTCATGGTTACAATCGTTTAGTTCCATTCACAACTCAGCAATGTTCAAAATCCCTGCTACTTGATGATTGTAGGATATAATATTATGGGGGTTATGCCCAATATATTGGGGATCAGCAATCATGATTCATGAACATCGAATCCATATTGACCAACCACTATATAATGGACATGGACAATGAATTTCGGCCGTTGAATTATTCGTCCATCCCCAAGCTTAGTTTGTAGGTCAACTCTCTACTGTTTCCTGGTGAAATGCTATGAAACTCAGAACAACTGTGTAGGTTCACTGTTTGTTCAAAAAGTTTAAGTTTAGTCAGGGTTCACTAAGTCAGAGAAGTTCGTGTTTCTAGTCTTTTTGGTGAACTTCTCAAAAAAGCTAAGTCTATGTTTAGTGCCCAAAAAACGATCAAACTTGGGATCCAAACGTCTCCAAACTCGTGCCATGCCCCAGGTTTTTGAAAGCCATGGCGCCCTCCGCCAAGCTGGTGGTGCAGAAGGTGACGGACGTCTGCGGCCAAGTGACGCACCTTGGGCGAGAAATTTTTGGGTCCAAAAAGGCGATGGGCCGGGCAGGGGAGTGAGTCATGTCTAGTAAGTTGTATATATAATGTCATTGTATCATGTATACCCTCTGGTTATGACTAACATAGCCATGGTATAGATGGCCCATAGAAATAGATGGTTTACCTATGAAACATGGTGGATCTTTCCATGGCTATGTTAGTCATAACCAGAGGGTATAATGTGTAAGTTATATAAGTTATATAGGTCCCCAAGTTTCCAACCTTGGATAGTAGTAGTTAATCGATTAATTTGTCTTAGTGACGACTGGATATCCTCTGGTAAACTAACAGAACGAACTTGAAATTCACCAGCTATGTTAAATTACCCGAGGGATCCAGAGGGTAAGTGATATATAAAACTCCCCATAGGTAGTTTAATCCTTTAGTTAACTATCTAGTTGTTTGCGATAAATGGAAAATCATCAGAACCAGCAAATAATATATTTTTTGTGGACTATCATAGATTGGCCATGGGAACAATATGTCAACCATGGATTAATAAACCCTGGCCGTTGATCCTTGGGGGTTGGAGGGTAACCCCCATAGTTAATTAACCATGGTTTGATTAATCCGGGGTTGACAGTAATTACCCTCTGGTAAACAAACATAGCTATTGAAAATGGCCATTTATAATGGTTTTTCCCATGAAAAATGGTGATTTTCCATAGTTATGTTAAATTACCAGAGGGTAACCCTTGCTGATTTTCAATGGGAAAATCAAAACCATTCGAGGAATTGATGTTTCGTGGTCCTCCTTTTTTGGGTGCATCTCTGGTGGTTAGCCGCCACTGGCCTTCTGCAGTCCATATAACCAGTGATATTTTCATATATACCATCTGGTTATGACTAACATAGCCATGGAAAATCACCATGCTATTAATAGGTAAACCAGCTATTTCTATGGACCATCTATACCATGGCTATGTTAAACAACCAGAGGGTGTATATATATATATATACATATTATATATATATATACATATTATATATATATATACATATTATATATATATACATATTATATATATACACATATTATATATATACACACAATGTGAGGCCCCCAAGATAGCTAAGTTGGTTTATAACTCCAATAACTATGGTTTATGGTACTTATAACTATAGTTACTGGGGCTTATAAACCAACTTATAACTGGGGGGCCTCACATTGTATATATATATAATAACTGGAAGATGGAAGTCCCAAATTGGCTTTGTTTGGAAAAAGCGGTTACCCAGGTTACCCCCAAATCCACTGGTTGATCACCCTTGAAACTCTACCCTCTGGTGATGACTAACAGTTCGCTATTGAAAATGGCCATTGAAAGTGGATGTTCCCATGAAAAATGGTGATTTTCCATAGTTATGTTAGTTTACCAGAGGGTAAAGGGAGTAGCCTAACTAAGTAACTACCACTTGCCAATTTGCAAAAACATCATAGACCGGGGCTCCTAGCAGTAGTCTTGAGATCCCTCCTCAAAGCGGGGTGACAATGCCCCTTTTTGTTTCTATGGTTTCTGTGAGAACTTCGAGGATCATGCCAAGCAGTAGGTAGTACTGTAGCCACTTGTAAGGCTAGAACTCCCCAAAGAGAATTGTCCTATGTGGAAAGAGATTCTAACTATATCTCCATATACCAACGGCCAAATGCGATCGTCCTAAAGCAGCTCCCAGGAATGGCATTTGTTTGCAACTGGCTGATTTATTTACGACGACGTCGCCACGATGGCAATGATAAGAATGATTAGGAAAGGGGAACCATCGAAATGACCGTAGGTGACATATGAGAATTTACTCAGAGAATATGTAGGCTCATGTGGGCTCTCAGTATAATATTCTTACCAGAAATATGATATGAGTTGGATTGATTTCAATCAAGCTTTATTCCGGGGGTGGCTTGACACATAGATGTATATTACATGTAGTTAGCGCTTCATAACTATGATTACAACCAATACAAATATTCATATTATATATATATCATATACATTAGTATAATACATATATAAGAGATATTATGTGTCCAATCATTTCAACAATATTATATATACACATGGGCTACCACCAAAAAGGTCTATGTAAGGGATATGTATTGGAATGGAATCTAGCTCAAAACCTGCAAAAACGAAGGTGACCCTTTAAAACGAAGGCAAACCTTACAACTAAAGTTTGTTGATAGATTTCCATTTGAGCAGCGAACGTCAAGAATGGATATGATAAGAATGGTGTATCATGGAGTTATTGTCGTTTGGTCTTTACCTGTTTTCCCTTGTCTTCCTTTTGTTTCCTTTCTTGCTTTCATGCCTTTCCTGTGACAGTTTCTGTTGGCTTCCTTTCCGCCTTCGTTTCTTTCTGTTGGTCCCGTTTGTTTTTTCCTTTTTCCTCCTGCTGCATTTACATTTTGTCAAGTTTCTGCTTTCCGCCTGCAAGTATTCTTTTCATCCTGCGGTTTCGTTTTCCCGTCTGGTTTTGCGTTCTGGAACGAAGCCAAAACGAAGGCAAAAACGAAGGCAAAATTCACGACAAGCAGCTTGGCATGAACCTGGCCAGGAGCAGGCAAACCTTCTTCCCCATCCTGCTACTACTGCGACAACTACCATTGCCACTGCGGGGCCTAGTTGTGCTTTTGCTGCAGGCATTTGTCTTACCAGCACCAGCAAAGCACCAACAGCGCCGGCATCACCGCAATTGCTGCTGCTGCTGATGCAGCTGCTGCTGATGCTGATGGTGCTGGTGCTGGTAGCTGCTGGTAGCTGCTGGTAGCTGCTGGTAGCTGCTGGTAGCTGCTGGTAGCTGCTGCTGTGACTTGCTGTCACTGCTGTCGCTGCTGTCACTTGCTGCTGCCACTGCTGCTGCTACTGCTACTGCTGCTACTGCCACTGCTACTGCCACTGCTCCTGCCACTGCTAGTGCTACTCCGCTGCTACTGCTACTGCTCCTGCTCCTGCTGCTTGCGCTGCCACTGTTGCTTCTTCTAGCACCTTTGTCGCTTCTACGAGTCACAGTACTAATCCTAGCACATCCTGGCACTGTTTTTATAACTTTTGCTATTGCTACGTCATTGCTGCTGCCATTGAAATGATGACTGCGCGATATCGCACGTATATCTGTGAAGGTTTGGTCGAAACCCTTGTAAAACGAAGGTGACCCTTTAAAACGAAGGAAAAATAGATATTCCATTTTGGGGCAATAGAGTTTTGGACGTAGCTCACATATATACACAGTAATAGCAAATTTAAGTACACCTATATATATATATATATAATTATTATTATATATATAATTATAATAATATATACATATATTATATATATATCATATTCAACCACTGACATTGGATGTTGGTTTGAGTCCCGGTGGCCTCCCGTCCCTCCACGTTCCCAGGCAGTTGCTGCAGCAACAAGGCAAGTCGGTGGAGCAGCTGTTCGACGCCCTGGCGGAAAATCAGGCGCTGCAAAACCTGGGGAGAAAAAAACCGGTGACGCCAGAAATGATTTGTGTTAATCCATATTAGTGATGATCCATATGGATCCATATGGATTAATATATTGGATTAATATGGATTAATATGGATTGTGTAAAAATTAATCCATATGGATGTGATCCGTATCAATGATCCATATTAATCCATATGAATCCAATATATTAATCCAGATTAATTACTCCACGATAATGATCGAAAGTGATGAAAGTAGGTGTTTAGGCAAGAAATGGCAAGAAATAGCGAGGTTCAACAAGTAAAATAGAAGGACTCTGTGCTAGACTTAGAAGAACATCATGGCTGACTTTTGATTGCTGCAACCAGCTGAGCTGAAATTGTTGTTTTTTTTTCCGCACACCAAACGTACCAAGTATTATCTAAGTTTGGCCCCAGAAATGGGATTATCAAAGGATGTTGAGAACCAATCTTACATCTTATTCTGGGTAAATGAAGGGGACAAGAGTATAGAGTTTCCGCCGTCTCATTTAGTCGTGAAAGATGCCGGGGAATGTTTGCTCCACAGTAGCGGGCCCAGAAGCTCCTTCCAAGGTATACCAGCGCGAACGCTCTACACCCGAATTTGAACCAATGCCCTGCACTTTGGGGGTGCACTTCGAGATAATGAGTGCATTTTCCGCCACAATGAACGAGATCATATGCCAATTTGTGGTGGTGAAATAACCATGGTTGTTATACCCATTTTTTTCGCCCCAGCTGCACCCCCAAAGTGGTTTGATATCTATCAATAGGGTATACTGATACCACCACATCTTCCGAAATTTGGGCTTTTGTAGTACTGTTGTAGTATTGAAATCCACGGGTTTGGGGTACCCCAAAATATTACCTGCCCATCTGCCCAGCCCTTTCCCTTGATGCGCAGGTGGTTCGCTGGGAGGCCTTTTGCGCCTTTTTCCAGGGAGTATCGTTGGGGCGACCCAGCAGCCCGAGGTTGATGGGTTCTAAGTTCCCCAAAATGGAGACGACTGCGAATTACCCTATGGTTATATTGGAAAACCTCCATGTTCCATGGGTAAAAAGAGGTAAATCATCCATCAGTGGGCAATTTTCCTTGGCTATGTCATGCAGGAGAGTAATTCGAGATCATTAGAAAATATTAGAAACCAAATTATCCAGGGGTTGGTAACTGTCCCATTTTGGGTATATTGGACATCACCTTATAATAGCCATTATAGACCATATACCTAATGGTTGGGTGATGTTCAATGGGGACATTTAATGACCCAAATTATCCCCATCTATCCCCATTGATATTGCTCGTGGAAGGCTGTCACCGCAAGCCTTCGCCATCAAAAACGGGCGCCCACTGTAACCTGAAAGCGGCCCCACCGCAGTAAAAACAGCCTCTGATGGGACATGATGGGGCCGTATAGGTGGATCATGGCCAACGTTGAGGTGGTTTTTTTTGGGGTTTTTGTGGGAGTTTAATGGGGTTTAATGGGGTTTAATGGGATTATAATCCACTTAATGGAGATGATTAGTTGAACAGAGATGATTAGTATTGATTAGTCTTCAGCTGGGTTTTCCTGTAGAATCACTGGGTTTTCCCGGAAAATATCGAGCCCTTCCCTCAGGTCATCACTATCCGAGCCTGATTTGCATGGCCTTTGGCACAGCTTTGATAAGGTGGATTTTTGGAGTTTGACCATGGGAAGATGTTGTTTTTGTTTGGGTAAAGTCTGGGTTATGCCGATATTACGGGAATATAAAGCATGTAATTGGAAATATGTATATATATATAATATATATAATATATATATATATTACATATTATATATATATATATATGCATATATAACCATCAACATGATGTGGGTTTACCCGGAAATGGGGAAATTACGGAACCAAGATGTAGCCAACAATTTTTGTGCTAACAACGGGGAAAACGGGGATATGAATCAGCAATATACTCGGCATCCATGAGTAGCAAATGGGTTTGGTTGAACATGGGATATAGGAAGCAAATGTCCACCATAGTTGTTTGACAGTGTAAATGGAGGAATATCAACCTAATTGACCCTAAAGTTCATGCAAAATCCGCAGAACATATGGTCGACTGAATGGTTCCCTCTCTATATGGGTCAATAGTAAATACATGCAGAATTAGGCTGTTCTTCATATCCTGACATGATTAGATGACTAGGCAGCATCTTTTGGGATCTGAAAATCCGGGTACCAGAGTGAAAATGACCCATTCCTTATCTGGAAAACCAGACAGTGAATTGTCCATGAAGGGTTTCACATTAAAGCATCTGAATGGATATCCTCCAGAATCCGCCGGTATAGAGGACTTTCCATTGCAACGTTTGATTACCAGAAGGTAACAATCAAGCAGGGTTGGCTCAAAACAGATTGAATCCCATTTGGTTGAATACTGAGAATATGTGAGAGATTCGTGGGTCCCAACAGGCACTCCATGTTTGAGCCATCACCCAAAAAAACACGCCACATCAATGGTTGATCAATGCGTTTGCTCTTAGTCTCATAGATACAGTATTTGTAGCCATTTCGATAGAAGAATTCACAATGAAATGATGGTAAGCCTCACTTGACTGAGGTTTTGATGTTGACACATGTTTTTTTCAACACATTTCAACACGTTTTTGGTCAGGACGGCGATGGCACAGTGTCCAGGGAGGAGCAGGGGACACTCAGAATTCCACCTGGAAAGCAACGCTGTTGGCGTTGCTCCAACATGCTCCAACCATTGTACCCTCTGGTTATGTCAGACATAGCTATTGAAAATGGCCATAGAAATAGTGAGTTTTCCCATGAAAAATGGTGATTTTCCATAGTTTTTTGTATGTTTACCAGAGGGTATGTTCCAGTTCAGTGGACCCTGGCGGCCAGCCCTGGCTTCGACTGAGGTTCGTTCAAGCTCTAGGTTTTGCAGCCCCTGCGGATGGGAACTCAGTCTCCGAAGAGAAAGAGTGCATAGGAATGGGGGCCGTGCATGATGTTCATCTCCAAATGATGCATACATACAATATGTGACAATATTTGCCATATCATGATTTCAACCGCAACATTGACCAATCGAGCATGGTGCTCTTGTACAAGAATCTGTCATTGCCCAATGCTTCCAAAGGATAGGTTTACTAAGTCCGTTAGCACAAAGGACAGGTTTAACTCAAAGGCTACAGTTTACCCAAATTACAGGAAATTATGGAAAACATCAAGAACCATATGTTCACGGGCTTTTCACGGCCTTTTCACATTTATCATAATAAGTATTAATAAGTTGTAATTTCATCAAAATTGCCCAGCTTCACAAAGGCTAGGTTAAACCTAGGCGTTGTGACTGGGTGATTTTTTGGTGTCAATTGAAGTTCTGGGTTGTTTAAAATACATTGAAGTTCTGTAATGCCTCTGTATACAACACCTGTATACGAAGATGTGGAGTTGAGTTTCGCAGCAACCATCAACCAGCCATGACAAAGATTGGTCAATCTCCCGGCATATCCACCTGTCCCCATACTTGGTGCTTTCACCACTTTGCAATCAGCTTACATAGTGGTTAGGAAGAAGCAGTTCGGAGCTATGGCTATCCAAGCGAACTTCATGCACTGAAAAGACCAGCTATGTCATCTTGATACGTAGAAAAATAATGAAAAAGATGGAACCACCAAGTGCTGCCCTCGGAAAATGTCTCATTTATATCCATTTATATCATTTTATATCGATTTATATCCATTTACACATTTGAAACCAGTGTTTCGATTGTAACCTCGGCGAAACTGACATAGATATGGAATTTCGTGGATGTCCCATTCGGAAAATGACTTCCACATGGTTCCTCCAAATCATCCCAGAGCTATCATCCCAAAGCTATCATTTCATGATAGTTCATGCCATTTTCCCATTGATTTTCTATATACCCTCCAGTAAACTAACAGTTCGCTATTGAAAATGGCCATTTATACTGAGTTTTCCCATTAAAAATGGTGATTTTCCATAGTTATGTAAACGTTTACCAGAGGGTATAGTCAATTATGGATGATTTTCCCATTAAAACCTCCATTTTTAAGTGATTTTCCATGGCTATGTTAAATAACCAGAAGGTAAATCAATGGGAAAGTTCGGTTTCTGATGGCCCCAGCTCCTCCCCCCGATCTCCCGCTGAGGCCCCAGCTGTCCCCAGCGGCGCCTCGGAGCTCACCGATGCACTGTGGCAGGCCATAGCAGAGGCCTGGCATGGGGGGGGCTTAATGGGAAAGATCCACCATTTTTTATGGGAAAATCACCATTTTTCATGGGAAAATCAATGAAAATCACCATTTTTGATAGGAAAGATTCACCATTTTTAATGGGAAAAGTCCACTATAATTAAATGGTATAGTGGGACATACGCATATGCTTACTAGTGCGTTTTACGTAGGGTTGCTGGATGGGTTGCCGGGGGTTGCTGGGATGATGAAATTGATAGTTATTGTGGATCATTCCCGAAAATTCCCTGCTAAGCACCAGTAAGTTGATCCTCATTGAGGTCATTGAGGTGACCGCCGTCACCACAACTTGATGTTGGCAACTGGTCTGGCTGCTTTTGCAGCTGCGCTTGACACGTGGAGGACTCCTGTGGATCGGGGTTCCTTGCTCTTCCTGGATTTGGTTGTCGAGAGGGAGTACTAGGCGGTGCCATCTGCGACCCCGCGGACGTAAGCGCTACCCATTTAAGTTGCTGAACAAAATCGCCTTGTCCGCAGGCTCTGCTACCTGCTACTTGGTTGGCTTTGAACTATATGCTGGTTGGTGGTTGGAACATTTTTTATTTGTTCCATATATTGGGAATGTCATCATCCCAACTGACGAACTCATATTTTTCAAGATGGTTAAAACCACCAACCAGTAATCATTGATAAACCATATTATTCAAGGTCATTAACCATATATTAACCATATATTTTTCAGAGGGCTGGCTCAACCACCAACCAGTATGCCTTGAAATGGGTCCCATGGATTGCACCATGATTGGTCCAACACTGGTTTTGGCTACTCTCGGGCCAAAGAGGGCATACTGTCGACATATGGCGATACACCCAAAATCACCCAAATGAATAGCATGCCCTCCAAGAAGAAAACATGAATATGAACATGAACATGTAAATGTCTATATGTCAATATTCGTAGATAGAGAGATAGGTAGATTGATAGATAGAAAGAAAGGTAGATAGGTAGATAGACAGATAGACAGGTAGACAGATAGACAAATAGACAGATAGATAGACGGACAGATAGATAGACAGATAGATAGATAGATCTGAAAGCATCTGAAAGCATCTGAAAATGAAAGAAATATGTTCCGGTGCCCGAGGTCCTTAGCCGAGTTGGTTTAATTATACTGAGTTAGTCGTCATGTTGACGATTGGATTTACCCTCTGGTAAATTAACACAGACCCCAGCAGATAGTCTTTGGAAGATTAGTTTCAACTAAAAATTGTTATTTTCAGGGTCTATGTCAATTTACTGTAGGGTAGACTTTCTATGATTATGTAGTAGGTATATAATGGGGTGCCAAACAAAAACATTTCTAACTGGGGGCAGTACCGAAAAAAGGGGTTGATGGTGGTCTCGTGAAGCCTTGAATTCCGAGCTGTTGGTAGTGACCTTTCAGGCGGTATCCTGAACGTTCCATGAGAATAGAATGGGATGTTATCATGATACAGCCAGCTGTCAAAAAATAATTGGAGAAGGCTGGAAGAATTGGGGATTTAAATGGATTTTTCAGAATTGCTGGTTTTTCATGGAGATATACATAGATATACACCAACCATCCACCAAGCATTTTTAATGATTTTTATGGAGGCTTATATAATGGTGATATGAGGATCAACCTCGGGGAACCCCTGAAGATTTCCCAATGACTTATATATTACCAGGTAAAACGATGGTAAATGGGAAATCTTGGTAAAGTCTGGTAAAATTCAGGTAAATGTGAAATGATTTACATGAGTGGTGGAAATGTTGGCTCCTGTGAAAGGTAAAACGAGACGTTCGACTTCATGTGTTCGAAGATGTGCTGGAAATCACTCGAAGTAATTGGGGAAGGACTCTTCTTTGGTAGGACAAGAACTAATGTAGTAAACCCTAAACCCAAACGATTCCCAATATGACAAAATTGGTTTAAAGTTACCACATATTACCACATCAATCTACAGAATAAATACGGTGAAAAATAATGGCATAAATTCTAATAGAGGATCATGGAATATTGGACTATGGAAAACATATTGGTGAAACAATTGGACTTCAAAAATCATGGTAACCTACAGAATAAATATGGTGATGTTTGGAGTTACCACATTCGAAATCACCAGCTGAACTTAGGCCCCAAGCTTGGCTCAGGTGGCTACATTGCGTGCAGCTGCGGTTGGGCCTGGGGGCCAGAGTTCGTTTAACAGGCGCAGTGCGTCAAAGACCTTGATTTTTGTTGGGGTTTATATGGGCTTTTGACTATCCAAACTGGTGATATAGTTGATAGATGATGGTTGGTTGATGATTATATATATGGGATTATGCAATATAATTTATATTTATAGGAGATTGCGGATGATCACAATCCATGAGCCGGGAAATCCGAGTAGCTGACTAGCAGTCAGACTTGTATTGCTAAAGGACGCCATTTAAAGGGCTTCGAACACCGTTGACTGTCATGATTCGCGGTCTCATCGGATGAAGCATTTTGACGGTGAATGATTAATTTCTCTATCCCTCAAATCATAGAATTGGATGATGGGAAAATTTTAACCGGAAAGCCCATCAAATTTGATGGTAAAAACCCATGGGTTTCCTGTAGATTTTCCCAACAAAACCAATCCAATGATCAAAGTGAAATGACCCATTTTCCCTTCCACAGCTGCAGTAATCCATGATTCACCTACGGGATCCTAGGGGTAAAGTCAATCAACGATCTACACTTGAAACCTCAAACTTGTCGTTGGATGTAAAAAATAGTTTCATGTGGCTTTAATTGTCGTTGGAACGCCAATCCATTGAAAGGTACATGGCATTTTTGAAGAGGATCATGATGTAGATATGTATACACAAATGTTAAAATAATATTTAATATACATTATATGATACATTATATTATATTATACATTATATTATATTACATTATACATCATACAGTAATATTATATATATATATATTATATTAATATATTAATATATAGATAGATAGGTTTATAAACATACAAATTGGTTGAAAACTAGGGTACCCCAGCACCCCAGCATGAATCGCCAAGGCCCCGCGGGAGTGCGGCGCTCCAAGACGCCATCCGCCAGCAGCTGGCGGCCTTTGATATCACGTCCGGGGGGCCCGGTGTCCGGAGGAGAGTCAGATCTTCCAATTGGCTATGTTGGAAAATGGATGATGCCCCACAATATGTGTATATATATATATACATACGTGTAAATTAAATTATATAAGAATCAATAATCACTTCAATTTCTAGTTAATGGTCAATTATATCCCATTTAGGAATGGGAAAAAATGATAATTCACAAGAATGGGGATCGATGGCTTTTTTTGTTGGTCAACAACAAGATTTAAAAAAACAGTGATTTCAGGGTGAAACTTATACTCGGTCAAAATTGGATGGCTAGTTGAATACTTCAATCTTTTGCAAGAAATGGGGATAGGAATACGACCAGCCATTTGTTTTTGAACGTATCAAACGCTGTCCATGTATAAAGTTTGCTTGAAAAAACGAAACACTTTGTTTCGTAAGTACATAAACTTAAAGTTTGTTTGTTGCCTGGTACCACGCAGTGGCGTCAGTTTCTTAAGTTCCCAGCAGAGACGTCGGGTTGAAACAACGTCGAAGCTGAGGCGGACGGGATTCTTGGACCCCAGCACCTTCAGTAAGGCCCAAAAAAATCGGGTTTTGGCGATGGCCAACATCAGGCAGCCCGTTAATGGCAAGAAACCTTCAAAGATGTCAACTCAATTTAAAACATGGCTTCAAACGTGTTTGAGATGGCGATCGATAATAAATGATATGGCCAGCACTCGGGACAACATGTTTTTCGCTTGGTCCGGCCCACAGCAACCCATGTTGCAGGGATGACTGACAAGCCACATGCAAATACAGACACCTGGTGAGTTGTTGTTTTGTTTTACACTGTTTCATGATCCCAGATGCTCCATGTATGGAATATTTACCAACATTTGCCCTAAAAATCACCCAAATGTAGGTAAATATACCATACATGGAGCATCTGGGGATTTTCATGTTGGTTCAAAACGGTGTACTTTCGGAAGATCACCAGCCACCTCCACCTCATTACTTCGACTGCACTCACCTCGTAGATCCTCGTAGGCCATGCGCTCCTACAGTCCGGCCTTGCCAGATCCCGTGGTGGAGGTGAGAACGGCCAGGGCTGAATGAGAAACATAACACATAGATCTGGGTAAATTATAACGACCTCACTGCGACCTCACTGGAATCATGGTTAACAAGGGAAGTCATCCCCAAATGGCCTTAATTCAGGTTAGTGAAATATTATAATTTACCCAGATAGATGATATGTAGGGGGGATAAGAATAGATAAGATACCAAAATGATCCAACATGGGAAATGTAGAAGTAACAGTCGACTGGTGGACGACTTGAAATAGGTTTTGTTTGTGTGAGCCAAGCCTGCGGAATCATTATGGGTACTATTTGAAAACATAGTTTAAACATATGTGAATCCCTCAGTGTGCGCAATGTTTTCTTCATTTTTGGAGATATAACAACATTCCTTGAAAGCCGGTGTGCCATTGGGATTTTGATATTTTGATGTGACTTTTGCCCAGTTGATGTGACTTTCTCCAACTCGCTGTTACATGGGTTTGATGTGACTTCTGCCCAACTGATGTGACTTAAACCCTTCGCTAGTAAGTATGGTAAGCAGGATTCGTTCAGATACGACTGGGGGATGCTGGGGGTATACCCACTTACCAACATTTACCAACTGGGGTGAACCACCACGAATGGTCATTCAGTTTTTCAATGGACATCGTACAGTAGAGAATGAAAGCCAATCCGAAGATGTTTGAAAGCCGATAAGTGTATCCTGACATCCGCAGTCACCAACCAACGTTGGGATTGAAGATGATTGAACACATAAAACAAAGATGCGACTGGTTGCTTGGTATGCAAAAGTGAGTCACTGGAGTTCTGAAAGATTCTGATTTGGTATCCCCACTTAGCAAAGTGAGTTGTTTTTAATGATTTTATATGATTTTCAGGTACAAGATTGGACGATGACCGTCTCAGTCGTTTGAGAGGAAATCCGATGTTCAACGAAAGCCAAGATGTCTTGCCTTGGAAAATCCATCCATTTTTCCCGAAAAGTTGCCTTGGCGCGTCATTTCCCAGGTGCTTCGAGGACAGGTATGTCAAGCAGATGGGAAGGTGCAGATTGATCAGTTGGTACGACACCCAGTGCATCCGTTAGCCTTTCGGTCGTCTTGTCCAGCCAAAAATGGTACACATAGTGCGTTTTATCAAAAGCCAACTAGAGATAAGTAGAGTAGATAGTTTTCCCATAAAGGAGATTTCTTTGCATACTAAGGCAAGAAGCGACATGATTTCAATGATACTGACAGAAAGTATGTGACGAACACATATGATGTGGGATTCCCTGGGCTTTATTTTCCCATTGGTACTTGTGTTCCTGTTCACGGTGCTGCGCAAGTTTGCAAGGTCACGAAAATCCTGCAGCCGCCAGAGCCGTTTGGGAGCTTGATGAATGGTAGGAACCTTTCGATGGAGGAACACATGATTGACATGATCCTGGGAAGAGTTTGGAAAAGTGACATATCCGTTTCCAGTTCCCCAGAACATCACCAATAGAAGATGTTCTGCGTGGGATGGTTGGGGCCACACACTGAATTCCTGGTTGGTGGTTTGGAACATTTGGATTATTTGTCCATATTGGGAATGTCATCATCCCAACTGACTTTCACTCCATCATTTTTCAGGTTGGGGTAGGTATACCAACCACCAACCAGATGGTTTTGTTCGTGGCTTATAGCTATAGTGTGGTAAAAACAACAATGCCTTTTTCCCAGCCCATGTTTGATGGTCAAAAAACCATCCATGGCATCCATTTCTGTTGTGATTTCCACGTGGATGGATGGCGGCCACTGCCGAGTTAACAGTTCGCTATTGAAAATGGCCATAGAAATAGTTGATGTTTCCATGAAAAATGGTAATTTTCCATCGTTATGTAAACGTTTACCAGGGGGTAATGATACCAATAATGAGCATCATCATCACCACCATCAAAAAAAAAAACAATCTTCATGATCCATTCCTTTTCCTTTTCATCTTCTGATTAAGATGTTACATCATGTTATGAATATCCCAAAATGTCCCAAGATATTGTGATAAAGGTGTAAAATCCTAAAGGTACTGTATCGTTTTGGGGTTTCCATAAATGGGGTGGTTCCCCAAGAGCTGGATGGATTTGAATGGAAAATCCTATTCAAATGGATGATTTAGGGGTACCCTCTGGTAAACGTTTACAAAAAAACTATCGAAAATCATTCTTTTCAATGGGTAGATCCATAAATCCACTATTTTGAGTGGGCCATTTTCTATGTCACATGTCGCTTTTTGTATGTTTACCAGAGGGTACCCCCCCATTTCAGGAAACCTCCATATCCCAATTGACCTGCCTTGATCACCACCGAGGCCCGCCCCTCGTGCAAGTCCAGCTCCTCCGAAGCCACCCTCTGAGGCGACACGACACGTTCGCGGATCCATGGATGCGTGCCATGTTGGGGTAAAAATGGTGAGAAAATGGTGGTACCATCAAAAAAAAAGGGATTTAAGGGGTACCATCAATAGAGTTCGGAGGGAATGTAATTGGGGAATGGATAGAATGGAATCCAAGCATCAGGTTCACCACTGCTGTGTAGCTGGAGAAACGGTAGATCAGAAGCTAAACTATTAGAAGATACTAGAAGCATCTAGAGAGAGAGAGAGAGCTCCAATGCGTTTGGCGTTTGCTGTCTAGTTCTTGCAATTCGGAGGTGTCGTGAGTTGTCTCCACTGTGTGAGATCGCGGAAGCCAAGCAGTGATATTTGATGCTGGAGAACCATCCGACCAATCATGGTACAATGTTCGAGTGTTCTGTTGCGCCTTCAGGATGGCAAATGCACTCGTGACATTGATCAGATTCTTGAAGCCTGAGTACTGCGACAGTGTCACTTGACGACCTGGAGATGCGAGGTCAATTTTAGGTTTTACGCCACTCTTGAAGCTTTGCAGCCTATGCAATTAGTGGTTCTGTGGCTCTCAAGGGAGGGAAGTGGGTGCCGTGACTATAATGAATGGAAAATGAACCATAAATGGGGATAATTGGGATAATGGAAACATCATTGAAATATATATATATAATATAATTATATATATACATATATATCGTCGCCAACAAACTATGTTTTTTGTGTCTGACTGAAATGGGTGGTACTCCTAATGTATGGCCACTTCAATGGTAAAAATCATGGAAAATGATCAAATGATGATCAACGATCAAATTTAGGGCACCCCATTTCCAGCCAAACCCAGGTGGAATATGATGGACATTAATATTAATATCATACAATATAATTATATATATACGTATATATATATAATTATATACACATGTTGATAGATGAATAGAGAGACCGAGAGATAGAGAGATAGAGAGATGCGTGTGTACAGGATTCATGGTGTATGCTCTCCAGTACATCGTCATCTGGAAACCCCACCAGTTGATACCATTGGCTAATCAATGGATCTGTCTGAGTATAGGGCTCACCTGAATCCACTCGTTAGTTTCCCTAGTTCATCATCATTTTCCCTATTTAACTATAGCCATAAACTGGGGGATACCTCATTTTCCGACACATTCCGCAGGCTGGCGGCCCCTTGTGGAGCGCATTGCGCAGGACCTTTCCACAGTTGAGAAATGATGTTTCTATACTTTTTTTGGGGGGGTACTACTAGGGAAAAAGATTGGGAACGGCTTTTAACACCCAAAAACTTTCAGGCAGCTTAGTTTTGTTTTTCAGCTATTGCAAATTTCAGGTTTTTGGACACACATTGTGGCACTGACGCTGGTGTGTTTATTAACTACTCTAGAAAGAGACTCGTCATTGTCCTATGCTGTGGAATTGGAAGTTTTTCAAGTCTGCTGCATTCTCCATCCGCGACAATGTCACCTTTGAGTTGCCGTCCCAGCCGGTGTCAGAATTCCGATTTGACTAGAAGAACCATAGTTTGCAAAGATATTTGAACATCGAACATCGTCAAAGGTGTTCAATGCCATAATTTCTAAGTTGAAATTCAAAAAAACACATAAATACACAACCAAAAAAAAACTGTTTTTAAAACCACATTCAACATGCTCTCCAAAGTTGAGTATTGTCCCTTCAACATCCTTCCACCAGTTCCGGGAAAAGCAGGATTCGGCCGGCCCTGCACGAGCGGAGTTTACGCTTGCCCACGGTCTTCCAGTGGGGAAACCTACGGCCAGGGCGGTATGGACAGAGCATGGAAAAAATTGAGTTGTAAGTTGAGGAAGTTGGTTTATAAATCCCATTAGATCTACATATATATATATGCATATATACTGTATATGTATATATGTATATCTACCATAAATATATCCATAAATCTCTCAGTCAAGCTAGCTATAAACCAACTTACCAGTACCAGTAGCTACTTGTTTTGGATGGTCTACGATGATTATTGGAGGTTGTTATCATCATTGCTTCTAAATAAGTCAAGTAGTTGTTCCAATCTACGATGTTCTACTGGTTTACTGACTTAAATTATGATGAGTAAATTGGACGTTGACATTGATTCGCTATGAGCAACTCACTGTCACTGTCTATGAATTGCCATGGTCATTCTTGGGTGAAAAATATCTGATGAAACCACGTAGTGAACATCATCTCACTCTGATCGGATCGTAACTGTTTAGCAACCATAGCTACGCTGTTAAATGGGACACTTACCCTCTGGTAATTTAACCTAACAGTTCGCTATTGTTAAAATGGCCATTTTTTTCGTGGATTTTCCCATGAACAATGGCCATTTTCAATAGCGAACTGTTAGTCATGACCAGCGGGTAGGGCTTAGGGAGCTTTAGTTACCATGAGATTAGCCGGTGAAACCGATCCGGGGGATTGCGCAAAAAACGTTTCCGAAGCAAAGAATTTTTAGCAGGAGCTGGGAACCAAGCAAATACCCAGTGCCAAGAATTTTTAGATGGCAACATTATGAAAAAAAGTACTATTTAGTACTATTTAAATAGTGTTTGCCAACATTATAACATATTATAAATGGTACTGGTAATGATATATATATATATGATACATTTAATACTAGTTCTATATGGTAGATTAAATGCCAAGATTACAAATAGTACTAGTAATTCCATGAATAGAACTATGAATTCATATCAATCCTATGGTCCACCAGTATCATAGATAAGAACATTAATATTCAATAGCGCTTCTAGATAGGGACTTTTCAAAAGGAATAGATCCTCTACTAAACCAAATTTTCCAAGGGGTTTGGTTGATGTTTGGGGGATGGGATTAATGGGATTGAGTATTCAGGAATGTATCTATAGATCCTACTGGAAGATATGTTGAAACCTTTTTCAAGTTGTCCTAATTTACAACTTTCCCTAGAGAAACTAATGAGGACATGTGAACCTCTCCATTGCATCTGGAATGAAGATGTTCAGAGTCTTCCAGTTCCATCAACGGTGTCATTAACAACTACAGTTTTGCTGTTTGAAAAAATGAAACAGTATGCAATAGTTATGTTGTTGCTTACATTTAACATTATCCAAATGTGTTATTATCTTCAATAAAAGCCGTTCATATGCAACTACATTATATATATATATATGTATGTTTATATATATATATATATGTATATAGATGCACAGTATATACATGGTAACTATGTTCATTTCATTGCTAGAGGCTATTGTACATCTATCCTCTGGTAATTTAACAGTTCGCTATTGAAAATGGCCCATAGAAATAGTTGATTTACCTATCTTTAGATGGTGATTTTCCACAGCGAACTGTCTACCAGAGGATAAATCCCAGTATAACCATCATTGACCATTATTATATAACAATTACTAACCATTCATCATCATCATCATCATCATCATCATCATCATCATCAACCATTATTAACCATGATTAACCATTATTAACCATTATTAACCATTATTAACCATGATTAACCATTATTAACCATTATTGTTTTACCAACATTAAATCATCTACAGCATCCCCACAATGTTCTTGCTGTTTGTCCTACTCCTGGGCACCGAGCCGAGCCGTATTCCACACGACCCTCTCCCGCGAAGCCGCGGGCGGACACCGGTGGAGGGGCCTTTTTTTCGCCATGGTGCGAAGGCGCGAAGCGGTGGAGGGACTGGAAACTTAGGGATTTGCTGTATTTTATAGGTGAAATTGGGGTTGTAGCATGAAAAATTATTTTTTTTTGATTTGAAACAGCAACAATGCAAGTGTTGGATTGAATGACGAGAAATTTTAGGCAAAACCCATGGGGATACCCATGGTTTTGTTCCAAAAATATCAGGGGTTGCTGTGAAATTCTATGGGAGACGGGGTAAAGTTTGGTGAATGGTGGTGTAGTGACAAGCCCATCCATATCATCAATATTGATTAGCATCTGTGGAATGTCCGAAGGACACTTTTTTTGATGCAGAGGCCAAAAAGCAATTCTCAGATTTCTTCGTGATAGTTGGCCTGGGCGAATGTTCATGACAAATCCGCAACATGTCATCCTCCATGAACTTATTTATGAGGGCATCACACCCTTGAACAAAAGATCCTGGTCAGGTTCCATCCCCTTGTGTTTCATGTTTCAAATATGGTAACGCCACACATTTCTTCATTGGTCTCCCAACAAAAAGATCAAAAAGTCTCAAATGTCTATATATTTCTATGGTTATCCCAAGAAAAAGTCTCAAACAAATCTATGGTCAAAAGCACCCAATCCTTCGGACCACTGCCCACTGGACATCCGGGGACCAGGCGTGCAGCTGCACTGATTGCTGTACTGCTGGGTCTCCATTCCTTGAGCTTCATCCCGCAGGCCCAGGGGGTCCCAAGACGCTGCTGGTATGGATATAGTGTGTATGATGAGAATGTACGCATAGTATATGAATATGTGTATATATATATATACATTGATAGTATATGAATATATAGCGACGGACAACTACTTAGAACAAATTTTGGAAAAAAAAATCGGAAAAAAATCACAGGGAGAAACTACTTAGAACCAAAAACCGTAAACATCCGAACCCCACTACTTAGAACAAAAAAACACACTTAGAACAAAAACAAACCCCATTATGTAACAATTTTAGCAAACATTGCCATTCAAAACAACATGTTATAACAATTTTGGCAAACCTTGCCATTCAAAAAACATGTTTCATGATTTTTGATGTATGCTATTCCCCGGGCACGATGTCTAATTTCGCGCGTCTTACGTTGTTTTGGGCCCCAGACACGGACCCGCTGCCAATGAACATATATACTGAGGGGATATATTCGTCAACAGCTGATAAAGGTATGTCGCTGAAACTCAACCACATTTATTGATATGTATTGTTGAAGAATGAAGGGCGAAAACCAATACGTGACTATATATACTTGGCTGTAACCCCGTTGCACGGAATATATGGCCATGGAACCACCGCTGCCTCCTCCGGAAGTATCTCCCTCGATGCTTGGCTGCCCTTATTATGTCAACTTCTCTTTTGAAAACGGAAACATATTTTGGGAAAAAACTGAAGTTGTAAAAAACATTTCGTACAAACGGAAAAGAACGATTTGGGCTCAGGATCGATTCAGAGGAAGAAGCTCCCCGTTCCAAGAAACCGGGTGGCAAAAGATTGGGACGGGGCCGGAAAGAAAAATACAATCTTGCATCAACAGAATTAGCTGGTGGGAACCCTACTTAGAACAATGGAGAACCAGTGGAAATATATAACCACGGAATAAGGTTTGAGATGTTTTCTTTTAATGAGCCTGCAACTCAATTATTTCAAAAAAATGCATCGAAACATTCTCATATCTATATCTATCTGCATCTATATATATATAAATAAATAAATAAATATCTATGGAGAGTTGTGTATCCATACAACAAGTCTAAGGGCAGGTACCTCCCATCTGCAGAGTTAGTTGCAGGGGCCACTACTTAGAACAACCGTTGTTTCAAACAAAAAACATGGAATGGTAGAACACCTATGTCCGGATAAACACCTCTGATGACGTTACAAAAATGCGGTATTGGCATCATCATCAAGTTATTCACATATATATATATATGTAAACATGTATGAACATATGGATAGTTGTGTGTATATACAATGTCGGGGCCGGAAAGAAAAGCATGATCTTCTATCAACAGAATTAGCTTGTGGGAACCACACTTAGAACAACCGTTACCAAGTAGAAACAGCCCCGCTGGACAGGGTTTGACATGTGACTCATGCGTCCTACGGCCCAGGATGGTTCCTATGGCTGGCAAGGAAGTTGCAACCACTCCCAGCTCCAAGACACTGTGCGGCACCAGATTATGATGATGTTATAAATAAATAAAAATAAATAAATACATAAATAAATAAAGAGATAAATCAATAAATAAATATCTATGGAGAGTTGTGTATCCATACAACAAGTCTAAGGGCAGGTACCTCCCATCTGCAGAGTTAGTTGCAGGGGCCACTACTTAGAACAACCGTTGTTTCAAAAAAAAACATGGAATGGTAGAACACCTATGTCCGGATAAACACCTCTGATGACGTTATAACAATGTGATCTTGGCACCATCATCAAGTTATTCACATATATATATGTAAACATGTATGTACATATGGATAGTTGTATGTATATACAATGACAGGGCCGGAAAGAAAAACATGATCTTCTATCAACAGAATTAGCTTGTGGGGAACCACACTTAGAACAACCGTTACCAAGTAGAAACAGCCCCGCTGGACAGGGTTTGACATGTGACTCATGCGTCCTACGGCCCAGGATGGTTCCTATGGCTGGCAAGGAAGTTGCAACCACTCCCAGCTCCAAGACACTGTGCGGCAACAGATTATGATGATGTTATAAATAAGTAAGTATAAATATACTTATATATGGGTAGTCGTCTCCCATCTGCAGAGTTAGTTGCAGGGGCCACTACTTAGAACAACCGTTGTTTCAAAAATAATGAAATTGTGGAACACCTATGACCGGTTAAGCACATCTGATGACGTATGTACATATGGATAGTTGTATGTATATACAATGTCGGGGCCGGAAAGAAAAACATGATCTTCTATCAACAGAATTAGCTTGTGGGAACCACACTTAGAACAACCGTTACCTAGTAGAAACAGCCCCGCCTGACAGGGTTTGACCTGTGACTCATGTGTCCTACGGCCCAGAATGATTCCGACAGATGGCAAGGAAGTTGCCACCACTCCCAGCCCCAAGACACTGTGCGGCACCAGATTACGATGATATTATAAATAAGTAAATATAAATATACTTATATATGGGTAGTCGTGTATCCACACGATACGTCTAAGGGCAGGTATGTCCCATCTGCAGAGTTAGTTGCAGGGGCCACTACTTAGAACAACCGTTGTTTCAAAAAAAAACATGGAATGGTAGAACACCTATGTCCGGATAAACACCTCTGATGACGTTACAAAAATGCGGTATTGGCACCATCATCAAGTTATTCACATATATATGTATACATGTATGAACATATGGATGGTTGTATGTATATACAATGTTGGGGCCGGAAAGAAAAACATGATCTTCTATCAACAGAATTAGCTTGTGGGAACCACACTTAGAACAACCGTTACCAAATAGAAACAGCCCGTCTGACAGGGTTTGACCTGTGACTCATGTGTCCTACGGCCCAGGATGATTCCGACAGATGGCAAGGAAGTTGCAACAACTCCCTGCTCCAAGACACTGTGCGGCACCAGATTACGATGATATTATAAATAAGTAAATATAAATATACTTATATATGGGTAGTCGTGTATCCACACGATACGTCTAAGGGCAGGTATGTCCCATCTGCAGAGTTAGTTGCAGGGGCCACTACTTAGAACAACCGTTGTTTAAAAAAATGGAATTGTAGAACACCTATGTCCGGATAAACACCTCTGATGACGTTACAAAAATGCGGTATTGGCACCATCATCAAGTTATTCACATATATATGTATACATGTATGAACATATGGATGGTTGTATGTATATACAATGTTGGGGCCGGAAAGAAAAACATGATCTTCTATCAACAGAATTAGCTTGTGGGAACCACACTTAGAACAACCGTTACCAAATAGAAACAGCCCGTCTGACAGGGTTTGACCTGTGACTCATGCGTCCTACGGCCCAGGATGATTCCGACAGATGGCAAGGAAGTTGCAACAACTCCCTGCTCCAAGACACTGTGCGGCACCAGATTACGATGATATTATAAATAAGTAAATATAAATATACTTATATATGGGTAGTCGTGTATCCACACGATACGTCTAAGGGCAGGTATGTCCCATCTGCAGAGTTAGTTGCAGGGGCCGCTACTTAGAACAACCGTTGTTTCAAAACAAACATACAATGGAATTGTGGAACACCTATGTCTGGTTAAACACTTCTGATGACGTTATAACAATGTGATCTTGGCACCATCATTCAAGTTATTCACATATATATATATATGTATGTATGTATGTACATATGGATAGTTGTTTGTATATACAATGACAGGGCTGGAAAGAAAAAACACGATCTTCTATCAACAGAATTAGCTTGTGGGAACCACACTTAGAACAACCGTTACTCGTACCAAGTAGAAACAGCCCCGCTGGACAGGGATTGACATGTGACTCATGCGTCCTACGGCCCAGGATGATTCCTACAGATGGCAAGGAAGTTGCAACCACTTCCAGCTCCAAGACGCTGTGCGGCACCAGATTATGATGATGTTATATATTTTAATGTCTTTTTGGATAGTGGGGTATCCATACGATACGTCTAAGGGCAGGTGCGTCCCATCTGCAGAGTTAGTTGCAGGGGCCACTACTTAGAACAACCGTTGTTTCAAAAAAAAATGGAATTGTGGAACACCTAAGTCCGGTTAAACACTTCTGATGACGTTATAAAAATGTGATCTTGGCACCATCATTCAAGTTATTCACACATATATATATATGTATGTACATATGGATAGTTGTATGTATATACAATGACAGGGCTGGAAAGAAAAAACACGATCTTCTATCAACAGAATTAGCTTGTGGGAACCACACTTAGAACAACCGTTACTCGTACCAAGTAGAAACAGCCCCGCTGGACAGGGTTTGACATGTGACTCATGCGTCCTACGGCCAAGGATGATTCCTACAGATGGCAAGGAAGTTGCAACCACTTCCAGCTCCAAGACACTGTATGGCACCAGATTATGATGATGTTATATATATAATATAAATATAATTATATATATATGGATAGGGTGGTATCCATACAATACGTCTACGGGCAGGTACCGGCCATCTGCAGAATTAGTGGCAGGGGTCACTACTTAGAACAACAGTTCCTTCTACTCAGAACCATTGGGAACCGGTAGAAGTAACCATTCCAGGGAAATTTGTCACCGATGTACCATGGATCATTTTTTCATTATATATACATGTGAAGGTTCTGGGCTGGGATAGTGACCAATGCTCCCCACCATACAACCCACAGTATGGTCTCCACCGCTCTATCGCTGCTTGTTTTAAGTGTGGCCTTCGTCAGCTAATTCACTTGGTGATGTAGTGGAGATTGAATTTTCTCCCGGAAACAACTATTCACCCAAATATTTATGAACGAGTTCTGACAGCTTTGAGCTTTCCAACTGTCCTTTTGTTCGGTTATGGAAACAGAACTGGCACCACTTTATATAAATCATTTTGAGCTTTTAAAAGCTAATTATTCTATGTTCATGAACATGCACCCAATCCTATCCAGGGGGATTCATATGTCACATTGTTCCCCTTTGTTCTAAGTGTGGTACTCC